CAGGTCGACCAACCAAGGCGCCACCTCCGCTGCAGTTAACGATTTCACCTGCATATAACATGGGATGAAGTCACCTTTCGGAAGTGTAGGTGGATCCCCTGGGGCGGAGCCCGCCTTGGCAACTGGAGCGGGGGCCTTCTTTCCCGAAACCGACTTGGTCTTGGAGTCCAAAGATCCAACATGGCTCGGAACAACTCTGGACCCGAAAGAGAGACCGGTCGGGGGACATAGTCGGCCGAGACAGCTGAGAGCGGCGGATCGGTTGGCGCGGAGCGTCGTCGGGAAGACCGCGACCGAGCTAAGGCCGCCCGGACCACCGTTGCTGTAGTCGCTTGCAGTGTCGTAGTCTGAGGCAGCTGAAGGAGCGGAAGGTAGAATACGAGAGGTCTCCGACTTGGGAGCCGACGAAGCGGTAATGCTGGTGGTACTCGAATTGGTAGCCTTGGAGACCTTGGCGGTCGTCTTGGCCGATGGGTACCGAGGTCGCTTGCCTGGCACCCCAAGGTCGACCTCTCTCAAATACGACACTACATCTCAAGGCCGACATTACATATCAACCGAATCCTTCGAAGAGTGCAACCCGCCAGCCGACGGGAACACAAGGTAACATAAGGTTTATACGCGGCATCCCCTTCGACAGTCGTCAGTACGGCACAGTGAGTGGCTTAGGGTTTCATTACACAGTTTCCAGAACCCACTACACCACAGTGATGTCGGCTATAAACATAGCCGACTCAATTAGTCGGAACCAAAGCATAAGGTTGTCACCTTCTTTGCCGTCGAACTTATCGACTTCCATTTGTATGGGTTTTGGTCTGCGTGCGCCATAGTCGCTATGGGCGAAGAAGCAGAAGAAGGCATCTGTGTCTTTACATGCTCGACTAGAGCTTTGTTATATCATCAAGCATATGAATACGCTTGCTAGCGTCTTCGTCGCCCTGGGCGATGAGGACGCCCTTAGGGGCCAAGGATAGGGAGCAGCTTCTGCAAGCCTTCCTGTTATGCCTGTGCTGTGACAGGCCAACCGCTGACATCTCATCGATGTCCATTCTCACACAGAGAAGTAGTCGCAAGCCCAGGTGCGGGATTGACTACGAGTGCTACCAGGTACAGCCGAGATACTGTAGCCAAGCTACGTATGCACTATGTGCAGAGGAAGACAAGCTCAGAGAGTTTCTACGTCTTAGGGTGCTTAATTCTTACTAGGCTAGCTAGCAAGCTTATGCCTATCGGTTGTTACAACCGTGTCTCAAAAGAAACTAGTATCAAAGATACAATTGGAATAGAACGCTCTAGCAACTAGTGCTATACAGAGCAGGTTTGAAACTGATTTATATTTATGTTTATCTTCTAACACTAAATATAGAAGCGCTTACTTTATACTTAGTGCTAGTCACTATTTACTGGCTCTTTAGCCTTTTATGGTTATGTAAACTGTGCATAGTCACTAAACTTTAAATGAGTATAGTGACCACGTGGCTCTCGTCCTTCAGCTACGGTCACATCAAGCCTACTCTTGTACCCAAGGAACAGCCACACCACATTGGTGTGGTAGTTGTGTCTTTAATATACACACCTCTGTGTAACCCCGTTACAAAACCTCAGCTAGCTGTAAATCTCTTTCGTAATAGTAATAATTCATTACAAAGCGTTTTGTATTGATTTCTTTTCAATTTATGTTTGCATTTGAATATCATATAATGCTTGTCATTCTTTTCAATTTTCAGGCTAGGGTACTTTTTCACTAAAAACGTAATATTCTCGACGACATTGCGATATTCACATACAACTGCCACATAAAGAAGCACACAGACTAAAGTGAAAAATGGCAGTAGACGAAGCCCAGATTAGTGCAAGTGTACAGGCTCGCGCTACAAAAGTGCAAGGGCTGCTGGCGAAGCGTAAACACGAGGAGGCAGTTCTTGTGTCGCTGGAGGACCCGCCGCTGCAGTCCAAGAATAATACGGTGAAAGACGAAAACGCCAAGGTGGTTATGGGTGCATTGCTGGCTTGTAACAAGGGCGAGATGCAACGTGCTATTAACTCACTCAGTATTCCGCTCGAGGATAATCTTATGAAGTATCTCATGCGCTTTCTCGGTATTGCGTTGCAGAGTGCAGTTATACTCGAGTGGCACCAGAAGCTGGTAGCCAAAGCTGGATCGGGCTGCGTCATGCGCGCCTTTACGAAGCGGAAGCAGGTTTGAGTAGCTGCGGAGACTACAGTCTGTAAGACAGAACCGAAATGAAGCAGAGAATATATCTGGACATAATGATAAGTTTGCACGTTGTTTGTTGTCATGAGGAGCAGGAATTGGTTGATGACAAGATAGTTGCCATAGATTGATTATGCTTAGAAAGAAGAGGTGATCGCGGGTGAGCCAGCGATGCTCGCTACAAACGACTTGATCAACTGCTTAGTCGCGTTGGTGCTAGGTTTATCGTTCGCGAGATGTTGGATGATGGTAAAATGGTTGCAATTGCTTATGACGTGTCGTTTAATGCTAGTCTGTACATGCCGCAAAAAATAGTTAGTAGTCCAAAAGAAACATAAAGCATGATCCTCACTTGGAATACTTACGTTTCCTGCTGCACGTAGCCACTGCTCAAGTTCAAGAGAGTCTTCTTGAAAGTGGAAGTCTTCTTGGGCATTTAATAGCAGCAGTGGCATCTTGATCAGTGGCGAGGTCGGTCCAACTCGCATGACAGTCACGCCAATCGACGCCTCTCTCCATTGCTCGACTTGCTTACCAAAAGGTGGATTTGTCACAAGCGTTCCATAGAATGGTGCGTTTGCGAGTCGCACGACATTGTATACACCCGAGATACCCACAGCACCTTTCACGAATGTGCCAACTGGCTGCTCCATACCTGCTGCTCTCAGATACTGTGGATCAGCAAGAACCTGCATAACCAAATGTGCACCAGCACTGTATCCCACCAGCACCAACTTCTCTGGATCACCGCCATACTATTAATTGGGATGAAACATTCATGAGTCTCTCTCAAACTTCCCTTCAAGCTCATGGTATCACCTTGTAAATGTTCCGATGCAACCATGTAAGAGAAGCAGCTACATCTTTGACATGTTCAGGATGCTTCACTTCCGGTGATAACCGATAATTGACAGAGACACCCAAGCATCCAGCACGCACGAACGCTTTGTCAATGCCTTTGTTCAGTCCACCGTTTTTATCACCCTGTTGCCACGATCCGCCATGGACAAATACACAAGTAGGTAGCTTAGCACAAGGAGGAATTCGTTGTGGAATTGTAATGTCTAAAGCCTGTAGCGCATGTGGAGACTTGGTCATATACGCCACCTCCTTCCAGCTATAAGTACTTAGCAAAGAAAGCGTTTGCCGCAGCATTAAGATCAACTTTGTTAAAGTAGCGATTCAACGTAGTTAGGTATACATTCATTCAATCTCTCGTGTCAGCTTCATTAAGGTTTCAGTTAAGTAAACCTAATAATAAGGACCAGAATATCTTGCCTTGCATCGATGGCAGCGCGAGCAAATGTACGTGCAACTAATGCTTGCCTTGCTTTATCAAGTATGCTACTTACATACAACTCATTTATTCTTCTACCACATTGTGTCTTATTTGTATCAGTACCGGGCATCCATTCAATTCCCTAATGCACACAGTGACGGTATCTGGAGCACATTCTGGACGTCTAATGACAAGATTTTGACTGGATCGGTAGACGAAGTCGCCAAGGCCTGGTGCGTCTGTATTTATTCACATGTAACGATGAGAGGTGGACAAGAGATGTTAATTTTTGTGTTATCTCTTACGTGCTGTAGGGATGTAACGAAGGATGCCGTGTCCATTTCGCAGCAGTATCCGGGCCATGTTCTGGGTACGATCTCCATCGTCGGTAACAAAGCGGGTACACACGCCGTCACAAGCTCTCTCGACTGTCAGATTCGTGTGCTCAACCTTTCGTCGGGTACAGTGGAAAAGACCATTGATGCCGGTCCTGGTGAGCTCTGGCAACTTGCCTATAGCCCCGACGAGACCAAGCTCGTATCGGGCAGTCAGCAGGGCAAAATCAACTTCTTTGACATGGAGACGGAGAAAATCGTGCAGGAAATACCAACACAAGCCAAGTTTGTGCTGAGTGTTGCTTACGTATGGGTTAGTTCCTGAGTTTCAGTCGGTATAGGTAAGGGTACTGATGCAGTTGTGGTTGTATTGCGATGATGCAGTCTCCAAACGGGAAACACGTTGCGTGTGGTAGTTTTGATGGTTACGTTGGCGTGTATGATGTAGAAACTAGAGCCCTGGTCCACAAATACGAAGGTATATAGGTAAAGCAAGCGTGTTTGAGTGTAACGGGAATCCATGATGCTCACGTGTAGTTCTTGATACGATGTTACAGATCGTACAAAGCCGGTGCGCTCGGTCGCGTACTCACCGGATGGGAAGCTGTTTGCAGCCTCGGATGATATGCACGTCAATGTTTACGATGTGTACGTGGAATGCGATTTTATGTCGCTTGTAGCGGTGGAATGCAAGTGTTTTAATGTGCCTTTTGTGTAGTGCGTATGAAAACGCTGTTGCCGCTCTTTCTGGTCACGTCTCGTGGGTATTAAAAGTAGCGTGCTCGCCTAATGGTACGCAATTTGCTACGGGGTACGTTGCTAGATTTAGCTACAGAGTGGTATTGTTTGTTTTAAACAGATATCTAACTTTATGCGTTTGCTAACAGCGGTGCAGACCGGCGTGTAAAGATTTGGGACATAGGTACGAGGCGCTGCTTGACCACTTTTGACACGCATACCGATCAGGTAAGAAGGAATATGCGTTTGGTTAGTGCGTACGATGTAGAATAAACGGACACTGGTTTGCTAGGTGTGGAGCGTTGCGTACAACTCGTCAGGATCGCGATTAGTCTCGGGTGGTGATGATGCGTTGTTGCAAGTGTACGAGACTGCCATACTAGCTTAAGGCGTTAGCTTGTCAGGGGTCAATTTTGCCAGCAGAACGCTCTCATTAAATTCGCACTCGGTTGGATACTGGCGAATGAATTGCCAGACAAAGTCTAACCAGAGCAAAAATACAGGTGAATGCTGATCGTTCGATACGTCACTGCGAGCGTGACCACTTCTCAAGGCAAACTGATGCCCAAAGGCGCACCACTCCTTCTCCACAAGTACCTAGCGCATCACAAGCCATATTCGATGAATTTAGACCAAGAATACATTCCAATTTTGCTTCAGCATATACCTGAAAACCACGAAGGGTGCGGTAGTACGTGTCAAGCATCAACTCAGCTAATGCTACCATTTGTGCCGTGCGGTCCCACCCATCGCTGCAGTGTGTAAGTACCGATGTACCGTTGTGCACAGTATGTGCCAGATCAACTGATGCTTTTAACACGAGGCGGACGTGGCGTAGCCAACCTGAACGGTCGATCCGACCGTAAATACTGCTGGATGTATCCTCTGTCGCACCTCTTTTAGGCGCAAATGTCGCAGCTAATGCAAGCTGCGATTGACGGACGGAGTGAATGTTTTCAACATTCATAAAAATGATCTTTGCGCCGTGGTAGTTGCTAGAGATCTCCGTGCCTTTTCCAAGTCCACAGCAGCCAGTTGACTACGCGCATCCATGATTACGTAACGTCCAGGCGCTTTCTTGTTGCCCGAGCAGCACAGCAAACGAACAAGCAACTCATCTTCTTCATTGCGCGAAGACTTGAACCCCACAAGTGGCTGGCTTGATCGAACAATTGTAGCACTGTTGCCGCGATGGATCCAGCATACGACAGGCAAACGTTGATGCGATCGGAAAGCAGCTGCTGCCTTCAGACGAATGTCCGAAATGCCACTAGGCACGATAAGATACCGCGGGTACGTATCACAGAGCGTATACGTTAAAGACTGGTCAATGCAGCGCAGGTGATCTGGAAAAGCGAGCAAGCCAATACGTTTATACTCCTCGCGGATGTCGAATCGGACTTCTTCGGATGGCGCCACAGTCGGAGAATAGGAGAAGCAAAAAGCATCCAGTAAGCTTTTTGGGAAAGCCAAAAAACTCAAACACTCGACAAGCTTCTCGTATTCGTTCTGGTCTGCAATCGATAGTCGTGCCACTTGGGTATCCTTACACCGAATGACAATCTTGTATAAGTCATCTGGGGCAAAACCTAGAGCAACTTGTGCATTTTCCACTGATAGGCTCGCGGAAACTGCCCCGGACGAAACTGCGCGAGGGTTGATGCGGTCTATCGAGAGGATGGAGAGCACAGGAATCTGCCATTCGATTTTTCCACCACCAAGCAGACGCGTGAAGAGGCAGCGGTAGTTTGTGATGAACAATTTCCCGCTAATATAGTGAGATAGACATGATCCGTCGTGTGATAGAGTAAGTCGCTGCATGCTACTCTCGACGCTAGCATAACATAATTCGCCAGGCAAAAATGTTGGTTGCACCAGCTCAGTCAGCGTGGTCTCCGGATATGGCGGAGAGCCCGCTGCATTGGAATCTTTAGTGACTCCAGAAGTTTCTAAAGGAGTAATGTCATCGTCGCCAAAGGCATTTCTACAGCGGGAAAACGCAATATAGATCGGACGTTTGACGAGTTGGATACGACGCTTTGCTTCCTCTGTCGTCAACCCAATTATTGGCACGCCGTTGATCGACTGGAGGAGGTCACCAAGATGCACTCTTCCACTAGCCTCTGCTTGTCCCATCCCATCGGTTGTGGTCGGATCTTTTGTAAAAGCTTTAACTGCCAGGCGATCATTGTATGGGGCTTCTGCTTTTGTTAAAACGATGCCGAGCGAACCTGATTGGAACAGGACCACTTCCACTAACTTGGAGCCTCCATCGGGATCCAATACTCTTAATTCGTCATCTGACTTAATGTTGCTTTCGCTTCGTTCGGTCCCCTCGGCTGTTGGGTCTTGCAATATCCTCGCGAACTGTATGAGTTTCATTGCACACTTCTGTCGCTCCGTGTCAGTACAATCTAAATCTTCCTGTTGGCACGCACGCATGAGCAGTCGCAAACAGTCAGTGTTATCCGAATCGCGTAGCTGTGTCGACATTTGTAACAGCTTTGCTACGCAAACATAACGCAACAATGGAAATCCAGTCCAAGTCGTTTCCTCGCTTTCCATAATCAGTTTGGGTAGCTTCAGCAAGTCATTGTCCGACTTTTCGGTCATATTGATAACTGGAAAGTCAACCGCTGCACGTCTGGTATCAAGTATCAAAGCATCCCAAACACACATTAGTTCTTGCAAGGCATATTCGCGCGCAAAAAGCAATCGGATCCATCTCAAACAATATGTTTCAGGAACAATCTCCATGTTTTTCAAGTGGTAGTAGAGCTGCGGATCCTTCTGTTGCAGTAAATCGTACTGAATATGATGACACAATCTCTGCAGTGCCGACGGCTTTTGCTTCCCACCTATCGTTCCAAATGACTGCATATCGAAAAACCCATTCCCATTGTCATTCTTGTGCACTACAAAGTTGCTACAAAGTTTCCGATCATTGTCTTGATTTACACCAAACGTCGCTTCGCGTCTTGCCTCGACAATCTCGTAGAATGGCTTTAAGAACAGCATCACGGCTTCAAACAGTAGAAAAGTGTCAGCTTCAGTACTTGCTGGCAGTTGCTTGACCTCTAACATATCCGTCTCTTGATTCTCTATCAAAGCATAAAGCACCACAGCCACTACATCATGCATGCCTTGGCGATATGCTACGTCTGGATGCAATCGACACCATACAAAAAGAACGTGACGTAACGTAGTCATGTACACTTCATTCTGAAAAAGGCTTTCGTTGCCAATTGGATACAATCGTTCTAAATCCTTCTTTATCTCCTCCAGCAGCGTTTCATCTGTAAAGTATTGGCTCCAACTGCTTGATGAGTTCACAATACTACTACTAGTCGTAGTACTAGCAGTCAGTGGGTCAATGATTCCAGTCGCATCTATTTGAAATACCATATGCTGCTTTAAACGCTCATAACGCTCTCATTGTGCGTACAAACTATCGCCTTCCAGTCCAAATGCTCTTGCCCATAACACCCCGTGTTGAAGTCTTCTTTGTCATAATCAAATCCAATGTATATATATGTATACTGAATTTGATTATACACCTAATTACGGCACTCAATTATTGGGTTCGTTTCAATCTGTGTACACCACACAAATAAATTCGTGTCATCACTTTGCCCAAAATGCTGCAGCGTCTAGTGACATCTTCGGTTTTCGCTCGAGGTTTCTCGACGCTTTTGTTCAAGGCACCACCACCTGCGCCAAGTCGTCGTGTAGTTGTTACTGGACTAGGAGCTATCACTCCTTTTGGTGTAGGTGTCACACGCTCGTGGGAAGCGCTGTTGGATTCGCAATGTGCTATTCAAGTATGACACAAAATTTGATCGTCTTTATAGAAATTCGTTTTATATTGCTAAAAATTTGCTATTATGTATTTTAGACGATAGATGCACTTGTAGATACAGGAATGCAGTATACGATTGGTGCAGCGGTACCACGAGGAGAAGGAAAAGGGGCTTTTCGTACAAAAGACTGGATTAATTTGCAAAGAGCCCGCTACCAGGAGCCAGATTTTATCGCGTTTACGTTAGCAGCAGGTTGGTATTGAAGTAATGGTATACTTTGTTTAGTGAGTAAGTGAAGCTTAATATGATGTGGCTGTTGCATGAATGCAGCCGATGAAGCGTTGAAGGATTCAGGATGGAGTCCTCAGTCGGACGAAGAAAGAGAACGAGCAGTAAGGTGACATCTTGTGGATTTAGTAGACAAAGTTGACAACTTGTGGATTTAGTAGATAATGGTGAAGCTCAAGGTTTGTGGGTTTTGGTAGGGCGTGGCTATTGGTGCAGGCATGGGAAACATCCAGGAGGTGATGGATACTGGCGAGCTAATTAGGGACAAGGTACTATTGATCAACGATCTGAATGTTTTGCGTATTTTATGCTACGCTTGTTGTTTAGTTGAACCTGAAATGTTGTCGTTATTGTCATGTAGAAACACCGCCGTGTATCGCCATTTTTTGTGACAAGAATTCTTATTAATCTTGCGGCAGGCCACGTAAGCATTGAGCATGGGTTGAAGGTGTGGTTCTGATTGTAGAATGCAATGCGGCTTTTGACGGAATGCTGTGACTTACTTTTTTCTTTTATGTATGTAGGGACCAAACCATTCTTGTGTTACAGCGTGTGCCACGGGTAGTCACAGCATTGGTGATGCTACGAATTTAATTCGGCATGGCCATGCTGACTTGATGGTTGCCGGGGGCAGTGAAGCATGTCTCAATGAGATTTCCGTGTGCGCTTTCTTGCGTGCGCAGGCTTTATCCACTAAGGTAAACAATCATGCGTTTTGAACAGGAGACACTAATGTTTTGTCTTGTGCTAATGGCATGTGCTCGTAAACAGTTTAACAGTTGTCCTCAAGAAGCATCGCGACCGTTTGACTCTCAGCGTGATGGGTTTGTCATGGGTGAAGGTGCTGGCATTGTTGTTCTCGAAGTACGAATCTGTATCGCTTCTGCTATCATAAATCTGGTCTGCGTGACAGTTCCCTTCTTGTGACCGACACAGGAATACGAGCACGCAAAGAAACGCGGGGCTAAGATTTATGCTGAGGTGCGAGGTTATGGCCTCAGTGGTGACAGCAACCACATTACGGCTCCTCTTGAATCTGGCGACGGTGCTCGACGATCTATGCAGTCAGCAATTGCACAATCTGGGCTTGCGCTGACTGATATCGGCTACATTAACGCGCACGCCACATCAACCCCGTTGGGAGATCGTGCTGAGAATGCAGCTGTGAAGAACCTATTTGGCGAACATAGCAGTCGGCTAGGAATATCGTCAACAAAGGTGAGCAGCTTGTTTCTATAGCGCTAGAGAAGCTGTGTAAATGATTAAAGTGGTGTCACTGGTTTGACTATCCTTTTTGCGTCATTGTTTGCTGTGATCAGGGCGCTATCGGTCATTTGTTAGGTGCTGCTGGTGCTGTCGAGGCTATCTTCTCAATCAAGGCACTTTGCAATGTAAGTCAACTCAATACACTCATAACTTTACATGTATCTATGCTACGTCTGCACTGATTGTCACAATGTTGTTGGAATAATGTTTGGTAGAACGTAATGCCTCCGACGCTTAATCTCACCGAAACAACAGAGGAATTTACTCTAAATTACGTACCAAACCAGCCGCAGGAAAAAAAGCTACGTGCAGTCCTTACAAATTCATTTGGTTTTGGAGGAACAAACGCAAGCCTTTTATTTACCAAGTAAACTGGCGGAGTTATGGGCAAGAGCATTTGGACTGGAAGGCGACAGTTTGTACGCACAATGAGAGCGTTATGAGCGTTTAAAGCAGCATATGGTATTTCAAATAGATGCGACTGGAATCATTGACCCACTGACTGCTAGAACTACGACTAGTAGTAGTATTGTGAACTCATCAAGCAGTTGGAGCCAATACTTTACAGATGAAACGCTGCTGGAGGAGATAAAGAAGGATTTAGAACGATTGTATCCAATTGGCAACGAAAGCCTTTTTCAGAATGAAGTGTACATGACTACGTTACGTCACGTTCTATTTGCATGGTGTCGATTGCATCCAGCCGTAGCATATCGCCAAGGCATGCATGATGTAGTGATCAACCCGCTATCGGAAGCGGTCTCCCTACCCCCTATTGGTTCGGGAGCAAGTAAAGGCCAGGCGGTTAACACCCCTGAGATATCAAGGAAAAGGAAGGAAAAGGCCAGGGTTGAGGATCTCCCCTGAAGAATTTGGTTATAAGTCCACCCTCGACCCAGTCGACCGAGTGGCCACCTACTCGCTTACCGAGTAAAGTATATCCACTCGAGGCACCCCAAGGTCGACCCCTCTCAAGGCCGACATCACATCTCAATCAAGCCCTCCAAGGAGTGCAACCCGCCAGCCGACGGGTACACAAGGTGAGAGAAGGTCTATACGCGGCATCAGGATAGCCCCTCCGACAGTCGGCAGTCCGACACAGTGAGTGGCTTGGGGTCTCATCACGCAGTTTTGAGAACCTACTCCACCACAATGGTGCGCGTGCCTGAATCTTCGGAAGACGCGAGATATCACCGCAGATCCCATCAAGATGAAGATGTTCAAGCAAAGATGGAGGAAAAGACCGAAGGGTCACTGGAAGACCGATCGCCAGTGAGTACACAAAAAACAACAAAGGATAGAAGGACTGACCGGACCTTAGGAAGGGCCCAGTCAACAAGGTCAAGGTTGAACTCATTGAAGAGAAACCAAAATACCCTCTGTATGTCTCGTCGAGGACACCTTGGGTCATGACTTCCATCATGCCCCAGAGGACAATCAGTCGAAGGTGAAAACTGATAGACTATTGTACCCAAAAAACTTAGAACATACAAAAACTACAAAAAAGTACGATCGCCATGTCCAAGCCGACCAAGCTCCGGATTAAGGCACCAGGTGGCACCAAGTCGGTAGGCCCTCGACCTCAGAACCCTTGACCTGGTCGGATGCCGACGTGACCATGGCCTACCATCGACTCATGCTTGACGCGTTCCTGGAGAGCGGTCCCGTCACCAAAGCACTCAAGATCCGACTGCTGGGTCAGCTCAGTGGACCTGTTTCAACCCTTCCCAAGCTGAGGACGGTAACAGACGCGATTACCGCGCTCGTGACCCTTCTTCGCGAGGCGGGTATGGTCGCAGGAAGGTTCGAGCCTGAAGACTTGTTTTCCCTGGGGTTCAACAGTATTAAGACCACGTTAGAGATTCTACACAAACTTCTGGGTATCCTGGTTGGAACAGCCCCAGTACTACTCGACTCACCTTCTGTTACCATTGCAAAAGCACCGTCTGACGACAGCCAGATGACCCTGCAAGACATCGAGGTCCACCCTCGAGAGCAATGGTCGAACGAGGACCCATGGTCCATGCGAGGTCTATCACAGACCACCTTGCCTCAGGGTCCTCAGGTCCCTGCAAAGCAATCCACGGCACCTATGCAAGCGCTAATTACGATCCTTAATTTGACCATTCGAAATCTACTAGTTGCTACACCTAATCAGCTTGCAATATCTACTCTTCGTCTATCAGATCATAACTGACATTGACCAATTAAATCATTGCCGTACTTAAGGAAATTTATGCAATCCTATTCCAAAAATTTGTCCGACTCTTCACCACAGCATTTTATTTAGGTGATTCACAGATGCATATGGATAGGTTTTATGCATGTGTGTTAGGGGATGAGATTGCCTGTACAAGACATAAACAAATGATAAACCAGCCAGTAACGCAAGCATGCACACTAGCACAATAAGTAATTCACTTCTTTGTTTCCTGCTCAACAATAAGCCATCTTCAAATTCCTCACAAAAACTGTGCCTGACAACTGACAACCTAAATCTAAAACCCAACTACACCGGTCACGCGTATTGACGGCAGCACAGATCGTTGCAACTTAATCCAGGCTTATGGAAGCAAGCGCAAACTGCTGTTTAGGGACAGTGCCATCACTGTTACTATCTAGTTTGGATAAATCTGGACAGTTTCGACGAAATATGGCCAACACCTCCACAGTTAGGGCCCTTGCGCGATTTACCGATGGCTGCGACGACATCACATCCGTTTTTTTGCGGCCTTCTTTTTTCTTCGATCTTTGTGCTAGCGTGGCTAGATGATGTGTTTGCTTGGAGCTACTTCGTGCTGGGATAATCCGAATCATCGTAAATTTTCTTGGTGTGGAAAGCGGCGTGTCGACGATGCTGACCACGACGCAGCGTTCGCTCGTCTGGCTGACTAATGCGAAATGTACTACTATAGTAGATGCTAGGACCACGTCTGCAACCGTTCCTTTGCTTCCATAAATAATGCCAGTGCTTGTCAAATTTCATCAAGACTTGAACATCTTAAGCCTTGCATCAAGACCAAATGTGAGCTGTGTGGAACTGATTACCAGCTCGAAACGTTCTGTCGGAAGTGGTGTTAGAGACTGTTGAGTTTCTCTATACGTATCACCAATAGTATTCACCTTGTCACGTTACGCCCAGAGGTATCTAAATGTCACTTTAGCTACCTTCATCGGCTTCAAGAACGAAAAAGCCCACTCACGTAATATACTGCCCATGCCAACGTAAAGATATTTACCAAAGAATTAGTGAGCCATCAGCACTGGTGTCTTGACGTCTGGAAGAGCAAGATAAACTGCGCAACAAGAAGCTGAAATCGTTTTTATGCGACCCCATGCAGTAGCTGATTTGGCTGGACTAAGAGTCGGGTACAAGCTTCCTCGGCCAAGCTAATCCGCGTCAACTTGTGTGCGCTAGTCGTCATGCAGATCTTTAGTTGCAGTGACAGCCATGGTAGCTCGGAAGGCCACCGTGCAGTACGACTCTGCGGCTCCCTCTGGCGCTCGGTGCCATTTCTGCGTATATCGCCAACGCAAAGACGGCGTGGCCATCCATCTCGCCCATGACTGGGCTATCTGAGAACTACCATGGATTCGTGCGCTCATCTTCTGAAGCAACGCAAGTACCGAAGCTTTGGCGTCCGTCATGGCCTGTGAATTTACTATTTCGGCTCCATATACTCACTTTCTAAAAAAGCCGGCTGCTCCATAGTTATACGTTTGTCACTCTTACAAATTCGTCCAACTTGGCCTTTTACCTGTATGCTGTCGGCAAAATATAAGGAAAGAGTGAATAAATCAATTAGTATCGTCACCCACAGAGGGAGTGAAGGACACAAAATGCAAAACAACCATTCACCATTGTAATGCACATTATTAAGGTGTATATACTACGATAGTGGTTGCACAGCTACCGTTCAGTGGTCTATCCACGCTATTCGAATCGTCTATTCGGCTTCTCTGAGCCGCACTTTGCTGGTGTCTCCTCAAGTAAAGTGCACCACACTATTTCAGCCTAGAATACCCATGTCCGAACTTAACAATATACTTCAAGGAATAGCATCCAAACACAACCACAACCTTCCAAACTTTGTGGATGTTAAAGATGACCTCGGATTGATAGACCCAGAAATGACGCTTTTAAAACGTATCGAAGCATGGATATGAGAAGCAGCATAAGATTCATATGTTTGAACTTTTCATGTCATTTTTCTCGGGTGTTGATGGAAAGTTGTCTATTATAGTCATTTATTGATTGACAAAAAAATTATGTGCAAAACGAGGTATGAAGATAGACCATCTACTATTGCATATTCCTAAATGAGTGTCATGCTTTTAAGCTAGGTGTACCGGCTGACATCATGACTCATTCTCTGACATAATGTCTCAATAGCGGTCACGAAAAAGGAATGCTTCGTTTATATGATTATCGACACATGAACTCGGGTTTCAGTATTCATCTACATGTTCGAATAGGGGTGCAAATCTTATGGGTATGGGTTGCAAACACGGCATTTCCTTCTTTTGGAGCAACAACATGCTGAGTGATATGGGTATGAAAAGGTTATCATGTGCGAAGATGACTCCTCAACCGCAGTACGTCACGTCTCAGTAAGGCAGGATTCGACGCATACTCAGTAATTACGTCGCCGGAATCATGGAGTCCATTGACAGGTCCAGGAAAATTAGCTGAGAGGATGAAATAAGACGCATCCTGGTACTGATTCTATAGATTACAAACGATGGGGTGGGTGGGAGTTTGCTCCTAGCTTAATGCAAAAGAAGCGTAATGTAGACTAAGAAATGCAAGGAGTAGTTCGTGGAAGCAGTTTGAGTTATGAATACTAGAAGCTTGCATTAAGAATAACGTTAATGTCATTCCAGAAACGTATAGATCCTTCCATGAACATTTATATCTGTCCCGCAAAAATCATTTGTTTTTCAACCAAAGGCTTGACACCCACTAAATGTATGTCGAAGTGGAGAAAAAAAACAAAAAATGAATAACTTGTTAAGATACGCGTGCCATTGCATGTCGCTTCCCGACGGAGCCTCGTTAGTGGCTTGTCAATTTGCACATGCAAACTGTCGAACTGTATCTAGCTAGGTCCTATTTTACATTTTATAGTAGACTTCATAGTCTTTCCTATAGCTCTTAGGCTAAGCCTTCAGTAATCCTACCTGAGCACTTGTGTGGCGTGGCTACACCATAAAAGAGTAATTTATGAAACGCAGGTGAAGCCAAGGCGCTTGAGATGCTTAGTTGCAGCGCCCTTTGCGTAATCAAGTGAGCATATGTAATTTGTAAAAATCTTTTTTATCTATCATTTACGGATCAAGGAACAATATATTATAATTTATAGCCTAGTAC